AAGCACTTCCTGCTCCACGAGACCACATACCGTAGCCAGGGACGCCATAGCCACCGCTCTAACCACCTGGTTTGCCACAGAGTGGATCTGGCAATGGGAAAAATAATCTGTGTTACACAATCAAGCAACCGAACGGATTTATAATGACATTCCTGCCTGAGCTTTTGCACCTGCTGGTTTGGTTCTTGCAGAAGCTGAAGGCTGTACTTGATGAGTTTAGGGAAATAGGTCTGCTGGATTTGACTGTGGTGCTGTGGCGTAGAACCGTACAGGACCACCATCTGCCTCAGGACACACAGATACAGTTCTGCCCGCTCCACATCAAACAGCTGGAAAGAGCACAACAGCACGTCAGCGCCAGCCACCGGGGCAACGTATGCCAACTGAAGTCACGGCGACTCGCTTGACTGGTCGTTTACCTCCTGCAGCTCCCCGAGCAGCCGCCGCGAGATGAACTCCTGGATTGGATCGATGTGTTTAAAAATTAGCCTCTCCATGGCAACCATCACGTTATCCACTGTGAAAAGCAGAGTGGGAAGAGTCGAATGTCACACACTCCTCAGCCACTTAATACATGAACCATGACAGGAAATACTACAAGCACACTGCTACAAGAAGACGTGAAGAAAAGTGAAGTTTTTACATATGCACAAGTGCTTAAAGTGGCCGAGATGTGTTCTTGTGGCATAATTATAATTGAACCATTTGACCATCAGAATTTCTGGAAGCTAGCTTCTGGACTAAATTATATGATGAAAGTCTTTTTGCAAAATTACCAACTACCAATTGTTCTGTCTAAGAAAGGAATAGAGACTACAAGCAGATCTCAGTCTAAGATGCAAAAAGCGACAAAGAGCAAGAATCCCTCAATTCCTGAGTTGTTATGTTAAATGTCAAAAAGCACAAAGATACTTTTCAATGGGAGAAAGATATTTCCCTTAGCACCTTGTAAGATTGCATAACAAATTGATAGGAGGATGTTTACAAAGATAGTGTGAACATGAGTTGGGAGTAGAAGTATAACGATTTGTTCATCGCATGAATGCACCTCTACATCTACTGCAGCTCCTGCTTCTGCTTGACGGTGGACTTGTCTGCTGAAACAATGGATCAGTGTTGTCAATACAAACCTCGCTCCTCCCCAACACGCTCACAGCTTGGTGTTCCTCCGAGCTGGAACAGTCGGAGCACGAGCTGCAGGCTCTTGTCACTCTTACGCAGTGGCAGGTAGATATTGGTGCTGACTCTGCTTAAGGTGTCCAGCAGTGGAGACAGCAGTGACTCCAGAGCGGTACCGATCTTTGCCCCGGGTCGATTCCGCTCCATGTCCACACACAGAAGTATGGCCCTGGCCAACTTATCAGCCTCTCTGGAGTCAGGTAACCTCTCGCTGTGACCTGAAGAGCAGGGGAAACTTAACTTAAACCAACCTCTACACAGATAGAATCCTTCACTTAATCTACGACAGTCCCACTTCAGACTTACCTGCGCTCGCTGGGACTCGGAGATAAGTGTGCATCTCGCTTTGAACATAGCCTCTTACGGTTTCTTTCTTTGCAGCAGCACCAGTGCTATCTCCATCCATAATCCTGGGCTTGAAACTGCCCTCATTGTCCAGCAGCCAGGCACACAACTGCAGCAATGTCACAAATATGTAGGGTAGTAATGAGTCCATCATACAACTTCTCTAAAGTCTCATCTTAACACGGTCAAACGTTCCTTCAAATGTCTCCAACACATCGTACCCGATTCCAAATCTGCGTCCCTCTAGAAAGCGACTCGTCTGCAGGGAAATGCACCAGGAAACTAAAAACATCATCGAGGGTCACTGCGCTCTGAAATGAGATTTTTTTTTCAATTATGCAGTTCAATAACTTTAATGCTGTGTATGAAAGCTCGGGGGCTGGACAAAATAACAGAAACACCTCACAATGCAGCATAGAAGCCCTACGGTGAGTTAGTGTCGGAGGAATTAATTCAACTTGACATTTCTGATGCTGGAGTTCGTGGTTGTTATTACTGAGCACATTTCTGGAGGGGATCAGATGAAAGTATAACCACTGATCCGCTTCACCGAAGCACTTTTCCTTTGTTCGTCACGTTTTCATTATTTTTTCATTAGAAAAACACAATGATCATCATGCTGTCATATTATATAATAAGGTGTTCAAGCATCAAGTAAACTATGTATTTCCTACCACTTCTGTGAGACAGAGCGCGCTATTCAACAAGAAGCACTGAGTGGCACCTCTCAGCAGGACCTGATGAGTGATCATGGTGCTGCGCAGCACCTCCCTGTAAAACACAGCGGATAAGATGAGCGTCCGTATTAAGCATGATGAGCTACGATGCCGCCTGTGTACCTGGAACCGTGATGAGGTACCTGAGAGCCGTGAGCCCCTCCATCCCCAGCAGTGGAGCTGGAGGCAGTGTGGACAGAGCCTGGGAGAGGAAGAGGAGGGGCACCGCACACCAGTGCTTAGAGCACAGCTGCTGAATCATCTGCAGCAACATACGGCCTACAAAGCAAAAGAAATGGGCATTTTCATTTTGTATCCATGAGACGCGAGTCAGGGCTTTAACATTTATTCTCTGCAGCGTCTGATTTCCTGTACCTCTATGCTCAGACGGTAAACTGGTAAAGAAGGTGGTCATGAAGACTGGCAGTTTAGCCCCGAGCTCAGGACAATCTCCTACACTCTGCCCAACTGACCTACATGTGGGCAGAAGGAGGGTTCGTGAGGCTTGGTGCAGAAACACGTTTATAATACAACAATAACCTAATTACACAGAAATCACTGCTTTTATTTATTGTCTTGGTGTTTTGAAACCCTCACTTGTGAAAGAGCGAAGTCTCAGACAGAACATCCATAAAAGGGCCAACGATGAACTGAGGAGCAGAGCGACAGAAGAGGAAAGAATGCACTTTGAATGATTTCTGTGACATTACATTAATAAGTCTGAATCACACTGAACGTATTGTGTCCGAGCCTGTACCTGAGAAAAGGCCAAAGCAAAGGCCGGCTGCTGGAGGACCTGCAGCTCGAGCAGGTGACACACTCCCTCCCTCATGAGGGATTTATTCTCACTGTGGAACATCCGCTGGTACACACACAGCAGCCAGGAGGGGTGGAAGAAGACTTGACCTGAAGCTGCGACACACACAGAGCACTGATAAAGAGAGCAGGTACAGACCACCAGGTGACACTTCACATAACTGGGTTTTTTTTCTATTAGGTTGCCTTTATATCGTTATTATAGTTTACAAGTGAATAAAAAGTTTGCAATTTATAAAAAAGGCTTTTGCCCTTCATTTATTTTCTCATTTATTGACTCATGTTTTTGTAAATCTCTCCATACAAGTGGTTGTGATAAGACTTCAAAAGTTTGTTTGTGAAATTGTCAGTAGTTGATGAAAATTGAATGTGATCAGTTCAGCACTTTGGGTTCATGGAGAACTAATGGGATGAACTGATCCAGTTTTTTATCATAAAGTTTTAACAAACAAAACTAAAGTATTTCATTATATTACCAAAGTCTAGCGTTACCTTGACTATCATTTACTGTTGTTTGGATCAACGTGTCTATTCTGTTAAGAACTGGCCGGACGACATGAATCTGCAGAGGAAAACAAAACAGACGATCAGGATTACAAAACTGCATCATGATTCCCATCTCTGAACTCAAAGCAACAGCCATGTGGGGATTTCCACCTGGTTTTCCTCCAGGGTCTCCATCACCAGTGCGTAGTCCTCCCAGAACTCTCTCAGCAACTTACTCCTGTCAGGGGCCCATTTGAACAAGATGTCATCTACAACAATTTAAAAAAAAAAAAAAAAAAAAAAAAAAAAAGTGAGAAAACAAACAATACAACACCAGTGTTACAGTGTCAGCAAAATCTGAGCACGTCACCTTCCTCTGATGGAGAGGGAGGACAGTCCAACCCCTCCTCCTCCGACAGGGCCACGCACATTTTCAGCAGGTACAACGCCCTCTTTCGTGACACACCGTCTCTGTGAGTCAGTCCATCCTGAACCATCCTCCAGAACCGGACGGACAGTCGAGGGTCGAGCTCACAGGAGGAGGATGATGATGGAAGGCTGCGAGGCTTCAGCAGGTGGTCCGACAGGGCGGTCAAACACAGCAGTGTCCGCTCCGCGACCACATGTGTGCGGTCAGCTGAGTGCCAGCTGCACATGTCCTCCAGGACCAGCCGGAGGACGCTCGTTAACCTCGCGCCGCTGCAGCAGTTCAGCACGGTTAAGAGAAGCCTGACGATGATTTTAGAGACCAATGCGTCGGGCAGTGTTTTGATGCAGGACAAGGCGGATGACAAGGTGATGAGCGTGAGCCGTTCGTCCGCTGCCAGAGAAGGTACGAGAGCAGCCAGGACTTCACTGGCGACCTCCACACTGAGTCGTCCTGGACCGGGCACCTCCTCCTCCTCCTCCGACTGCTGGAGCGACGGCAGGACAGACAGAGCTACTCGGCCCGGTACGAACTCGTCACACAGCGGGACACAGACACTCACGAGTCTGCAGGCAGCAGCGGTGCTCTCCCTGCAGCGCGTGCCTTTGCCGGCTTCTGCCGATATCCTGGAGAGAAGAGGTAGACACTGGGTCCAAACCACCGAGTCGATTTTATCCACAATAGATCTTCTTTTCGCTGCTGAAAGCGGAGTAGTGTCCGAGTCGGCCAGGATTGGTCCGAGTCCTCCGATGAAAGCTGTCAGCGCCTCCACTCGCTCCGTCGCTGGCCACGAGTCAGTCGGCCAGGTCAGAGACTCGAACAGCAGGTCGTAGTCAGGAGAGCTGGACAAGACCGCGTTAATTAAAACGGAATACATTTTTAGGAGCGGCTACGCTGCAAGAAGCAAGCAAGCTAAGACACCCAGCAACCGACTCCTCTCGCGGCGTTCATGGCCAACACGTTTTTCCAAACGGAATGTAAACTTCCGCAAACGCAATCGCAAACTCTCGCGAGAAGTGGGAGTGAAAGTAAAGGAATAGCAGTGAAGTTGTTGTGTAAATTCAAAAATCTTACATATCAAATTTAAGCCACGTATGAAACAAGTGAAGACACCCAGTTTCCTTTAGTGAGATTTAAAATTTATTTTTCACCATAATAAAAAAACGTTGCTTTAGGTAAAAATAAATTGTTCATACAGTTCATACATTATTGGCATTGGAAGAAAGTGTTGAGAGACTTGAAACCATTCGAACTGTGTTCATATTGGCATAATAGTTCTTTTGAAGACCAATTATCATCTACAAAAGAGGGATGATGTCTGAGAAAAAAAGACAGAGAGGCTTTGTCTTGGAGTTACGTAATACAAAAATACTGCAGATTCATTATGCACCTTCTCGTTACAGAAACAGTGCTTTACAAAGACTACTTTTCTGTTGCAATTACAACAGCGGGGGGAGAGTATAGAATAGAGAAGCTTTGGATGAATGCATTACCAGCTGTAAAGAGGTTACATTTTCCACATCAGCAGCTACATTGATGTAGCAGAATAATAGGAAAAGCATGACAGAGCACACTATACAAAAATAGAGTATATTAAAAAATATGATTTTTTTTAAAAACAGTATAAAGGATTCTCCTGAATAAAACAAGGAAATAAAGAAGTAGTTAAAAGCAGCAAGGAAAAATGTCCGTTACTGTCAAACGTTATGCCCCTGACATTTCAGAAACATTTTAACAGCATCAACTTATAAAAGAAAAGGAAACCGATTAGAAATGTAATAAAATAGTGCAAGTAGTATGTACACAATATACAACATTAATAAATATGCTCCGTTCACAGATTTGAAATGTTGCTGAATTAGCTCCGTTCTCTAATCCACAGCTTTTCTATGAGGAATGAGGGGTCTTGTCATTTTCAATAAAGTCTCTCTGCAGTTTTGAAACACACACACATCCCGTGTTGTCATCCTCCCCACATGCAGTGGAAAACGCTCGAGACATCCGTGTGTTGGCAAGCTACAAGTTAATCTGCACTGGAGATGAAGGTGGAGAAGGCGTATTTGTGGACAGCAGTAATTGGCGGATTCAAAGTATGAATTCCAGGAACTGTTCATCACTTAACATGTCCAGGGAGAGGCAGTTGGTGGACCTGCGGCCACAGAAGGAAGGTCTGTCTTGGCAGTGCAAAAGAGGGTAATAGCTGTGATCGACAGGCGTCTTTGTGTTTGTTGAGGCGTCTGTGAGGCCAAAGGTGTAGCTGTGGGAGGAGTCAGGTGGCAGCGTGGTCCCCAGGGGCTCCGGAGGTGGAAACAGACGTACATCATCTAGACTGTGGCTGTGCCGATCCACGCAAACTTGTGCCCTAGATTTCAGCATCTAGAGTAGGGACAGGAAGTAAAGATGAAAGCTAAATGCAATAAAACAGAGAAATCCAAAGAACGGAAAAGAAAAGGAAGTCAATGGAAAGAAGAACGACGTCCAACCTGTTGTAACACATCCTTGCTATGTGACTTCCCGAGGTCTTCATCACTGTCTGGGGGACACGCTTTGTTTTATGTAGAGACCAAAAGATTTGGACATGAGAACAAATAATATAGTATTTGAAAAATATTCTGTAATCGTATCATTATCAAATTATTCATACCTTGTGAGCGAGTCTCTGAGGAGAGTTCTGAACAATCCACTGACACTCCTTCAAGAAGATCAGCCAACTGGAACATCTCATCAGGATCATCCACGAGGACCTCCTGTGGACTCCCAATGTTGCTTTGGATGTCTGGGGAAATAAGTTTTAGAAATTGGATTAGGGAAATTCTGAAAACAAAAAAAACTGTGCAATTATCCCAACTGTATGGAACTAGAAATTAATTTATTCTTACATCCCTGAACATACAAGTTCAGCATGACTTACAGCTGCTTTCCTGTCCACCAACTAACTATTTCATTCAACAAATGTGGTATTGGTTTAATGCAGAGGAATGGATCAAATGTCCAGTATAGAAATCCTCTCACCTTCCTCTTGCCACCCCTCGTCTTCCATCCGAGCCTTACTGCCCGTGTCGAACCCGGAGGTGCGGGAGCTGCCACGGCTGACTGCTGAGCCCAAACTCTTCTCCGCTTGCCGTTGACCTTCCTCCTCCATGGAGATGCTGCGCTGGCGGGCGTCAGCTTCGATTCCAGAGCTGCTGGTGGAGTGTCGGGACAGACCAGGGCTGCTCTCACTGCCGGCGGGGTCCAGGTCCAGGTCATCGCTGATGTATGACTCTCTGTAACGCTTTTTATCTGAAATGAAGAAAAGACAATGCCTTTTATTAAGCTCGTCTAAGAGATACATTTGTGCAGCAAATGGGATTATTAAAACAAGAACCTTTTTGCTTTCTTTGTGTGGGAACAAGTGTCTCCTCAGTTATGCATTTAACTTTCAGTGGCTACAGAAGAGTTCTGCTGAGTGCAAGTGGCCCCCGGTCCAAACTACAATCATCACTGGTACTAATCATGTCCTCGTAGTCTCCCTCCCTCCCTTACCTTCGCTCTCCTCCAGCTGGCGTATGTGTTTGAGGGCAGGCTGGAGGCTGAGGTAGAGGCGATGGCTGCTGCTCAGGTGCAGGAGGAGGTGGCGAGAGCGAAACGATGACCCGGTGTAGTAAACCAGCTTCCTGGCTGACGGCAAGCCATCTGGCTGGATCTCGAATTTCTTACCCTGAATGGGACACTACGTTATACAGCGTGTACATAGCTAATGCCCTTTAAATAATTACCACAATTCCACCTAATCTGAACAACAGAATGGAAATGAGAAGTGTGCCTACCAGGAAGGTGAGACGTCCCACGTTTGACCAGGGGAAGTCGTACAGCAGCTGTCGCATGTTGTCTACCTCCTATGAATACAAAACACACAGACACACATGCACACACACAATTAAAATAAACGGCTCAAATGTTTGTGAGCAACAAGAGACGCCTGGATGTGCAGTCTACGGGGATATATTTTCACATTACTGATCAACAATCAATTGTCTTTTTGTTCACAGGAACCATCTGGACTTGTTGAAGAGGCCAAGGGCTTCTCGAGGTATCTCACGCTCTGCTAGCTCTTTAATCAGCCAGGCCTGGAGCCCTAATCCCTCCCAGATGGCCCCTGATGGACAGATCAAACGGCTCCTATCTCCTGATGCACTGCTGTTGGTGGCCATCCCACATTCTTCACACGTCTAGTCAGAAGACTAGAGTTTGAGCCAACGCAGATTCACTCCTATATACGCACGCGTTGACGCATATGCTGCGCACCAACAACACACTCGCACATGCACGTACCTGATAAACTTGCATTCCTCGCAGGGTCAGACCGAGCAATGCCGTTCCTCTCTCGGCCTTCTTGTCCTGGACAAAATGAACGATAAGATGTCAGAGCGGCATGTGAGCGGTTCAGATGAGATAACCCACAGCTGAGCCCCTCTCCTGCTTCACTGGGCAACACTGGGGCTGCTGATAACAACACACTCAAAGTGATAGAACATCACACAATGGATGGGCTGGCCTTCAGAAGATGAGTGGTCTTGGAATGGGGAGGACAGCAAACTGGATTAGATGGAAGGTTACATAACTGTCCCGTAGTCGTTTGTCCAGCAAAGCTCAAATGAAGCTGTATTTGTGTTGGAAAAGACGGCACTTCAGTCAAAAGGAAGTAATGTGTCTGGAATGTCCGAAGATAAAAAATGTGCTGAAATCAAATTCCACTACCCACCCGCCTTAATAATCATAACTTATTATTGTAATGACATTGTGCAAACACCCTGCAGTGTGGTGTGTGTGCTACACACATCTATTCAAGCCATTAAACTTATGATACTGAAAAGCTAAATTGACCTTTTGCAGTTTGTAAAACGTGACGGGTACGTCCTCCAGTCGACATGACTCCTTGATGAAGAGCAGCATGGCGTCACGAGAGGACACGCCCCACAGCTCCTGATGCACCTTGGGACCGTGGCAGAGGAGGTAGCTCACCCCACGCTTAGCTACAATCTACACAAGGAAGAAAAAGGGGACAGACATGGATTGGGACCTCACAATATAAAACATTAAAATGCATTAAGTTAGATTGAAAGTTGTTGTTTTTTGTTGCTGTCGCACAGTAACACCTACCCAAGGGGGAAAGTACTCCTTGGGTTCAAAGTAAGGAGTGACCTCCATGTCCTCCCTGGGCAGCGGGTGGTCACCGAGATTAGCCTGTAAGGCGTACCCTGCCAGCTGGAAGTACACCTCCTCCTGCTGACGGCATTCAGAGCGAAGCACCCGCTCCCGCAGGTCAGAGTAGTACAGATGGCGTGCCTTACGTTCACTGGTACCGCACACCAAAAGAAAAACAGGAGGGGGAGACAGAAAGGAGGACAAAGATGGATGAATATGGAAAGCTTATCCAGTAGTGAGGAAGATGCATGTGGAACATGTATAGGAGGACATACCAAAAGAGTCTACCGTTTTCTATGTAGTACTGCGCTTTGAGGCAGAGCACTAGAGGCAAGGGTCTCCTCAGTAATCCCTGTAAACAGAAATAGACACGTTAGAGAAGGTCTGTGTGCATCTTTTTGTCATGCTAAGTAAAGAGTTTGGTGCATGTAGGCCACAGAACTGTGCCTCCCAATTAACCGACACGGTCCACAGTTTGGACGGTGACTCACAGCTAAGATGCTCCTAATTTACTCCCATCAAAATGTTCTACCCTTCGCAACGAGCTAGCCTTACCTTTCCAAAGTCTTGCTTCCATTCCTTAGGGAAGTATTGAGTGAGTTTCTCCTCCATGTCCAAGAAGATGTGCTCATTGTCTGGGATGGAGAGAGACAGCCAGGAAACCAGCAGACAGTTTAGCAAGCAAACAAAACCGGGATGTAACAAAGCGGAAAATGTGCCCAACAATGGAATTCATTAGCGCAAAAGCAAAAAAAAGCCCTTGTTCTTTCTTTTGTGAATGAGGCTGCGAGGAAGCAGATGACAACAACGCTCATTTTAATGTTTCTATTTTCATGTCGTAGCGTGGCAGCACAGACACACTGCTAGACGGGGCTTTGCTACCAACTTTGCTTCTTCCCCGGAGTCTTTGTGCTTTAGTCACATTACGTTTACCATTACCGATACCATTACTGCATTTATAATCATTATTATTCCACTATATCCACGGCTGCTGCTGTTGTTAGTAGTCGTCATTTTTCTGCTTGCTACTCTTATTATATGAATCATTTATTTACCAACTTTTATGTTGTTTTTTTAATGTTGGTTTCTATTTCAGATGAGGGGCTGAAATGCTGTTTGCAACCTGCGACGGTAATGAGGATGTTGTATCACTCTGAGCCTGCTCCTATGAGTCATGACACGGGCATTTTTTTATTTGAGCCACCTTATCTCTTTTGTTTAACCAAATCATGTTCGCCGAGCTGTTTCACAACTCGTTCCTTTAACCAGCCGTCTCTCCTTTCAGCCTACTCTGACTCATTGCAACTCCTTCAACCTCCCCCCCCGTCCTTCATTGAAGTCTCTGAGTAAGAGTTTAGTGAGCCGGCCCATGTCATGATGAGTTCACCCTCCTCCTCTCATCATCACTCTGTCCCTCCCCTCAGTGAAGAGTGAGGAATGCAAGGGTGCATTCCAGGCTTAATGAAGTTAATAATCGCAGGAATCCAGGCCTAAGTGATCGCTGAACCAACATAACAAAAACAAAAGGCTGCCTGTTCAAGTGGTGAGCCACACGAGATTACAGAAACATTAAGGAATCTGAAAGTTCCGAAACTTTTGCGCAGTGGCTAAAGTGGATTACACTGTTCAATTATGCAGACCGGGAAGGACACCATGACATGTTGTGGCTTTAGTGGAATAGCTTTTTGGCGGAAAACATTTTTCCACATTATTACATAAACAAGAGCCACTAAAAGAGAGGCGCGGCAGTAAACCGTCGTAATCCAAACACGATGCTCTTGTTTACCATCTAACTCACATGCGGCATGTGTGCATAAACTGATCAACAGTCTTCTGACAAACACTGCCGTGTACTCTAGTGTGAACGGTCCTTTCAGGCTCAATGAGGAGTGAACTCACCTCTCACCACCGTGAGGCCAAAGAAGTGCAGCTCTTTGATTCCAAGAAGCTCTGCCACTCGATTAAAGACATCCTGTCCTGTGGACTTTGGCTGCAGCAGAGAAGACAAAGAAGTCTGTATTCAATATGCATTCACAAACTTAAAAAAAAAAAAAAAAAAAAGAGCGTTGACCAAGAGTGACTTCTAGAGACAAATGAAGACACCCACCCCGACAGTGATGTCCAGCTGGTCTTTGTTGGGGAGGAGAACACAAATGGTTCTCTCCTGCTTTATCGAGGTGGACATGATGTCGGCGATAAGTACTCTCGCTCTGTTAAAAGGCCTCAGTCTTCTCTGGCTTCCTCTGTCCTTCACGTTCTTATCTGTTCCCGGGATATTCATCCATATTGCACCTGACAGATGACATCAGGGTGAGATAAGTAAAGAAATTGAAAAAAAAACATGATGCGACTACAGTTCAATGTGAAAGATGGAGACGGCAGAGTGGAATTTAAAACAGATCTAGGTTCTGTTGTGCAACATGTAACCTTCTGATATTGTATTAGCATGCTGTCAATCAGTCCAAAGCAAAAACACATTATCCCATTTTCAGACACAATTACATGGCTGTCTCCCATTATCCCACAACCAAGATCAACCAAACATGGCTAAAAAGAAAAAAAAAAGAAGAAAAAAAAAAAAAGTAAAATACCAACACATTCATCTTCCAGAAATACATTAATCTTCCAAAACTGAATCAAATACATGACATACATTGGTCTACCTTACTGTAATCCTTTCTATTCCAACAGTAACTGCAGCAACATTGATTTGTGTTGTTGCAGATGAGGCTTACGACATCAAAACAAGTGGCCGTGGTGAACCGGGACAGTCTACTCATCTGAAGCTTGCCCAGCGACGCTGACCTGAAGCCTGACCTGAAGCCTGACCTGAAGCCCGTACCGGTGCAAGGCTCATCTGATTAACGTCTCACAATCAATTAATCTGGTTAATTACTGCCGCGCCCGCTCTGATCCACTTAACTCCTGCTCTTGACTGTTAACCAGTAAGAAAAAGGTACAAGGGACAAAAAAACAAATGACCCGTAAGTGAAGCAGACTGCTCTTAGTCAACAAGTAGATGATAACCATGGTGGGGCAACTTGGACAAACAAACGTCTGCTTCTCTGCGTCACACTTGTGTCTTTTTACGCCAAACTTTCTAGGAGTTTGGCATTCTCGTAGAGGAGAAATATGCTTGCATATATTTGTTGAGATAAATCATGAGAAACATTATAAAAAAGGTGATGCCAGTGTACAAAATAAGTTGTGGGAACCACAAAAAGGGATACGTTCTTAGCTCAGAGAGCAAAATGATTTGTCGTACCAAATATGATTATGGACATGTTCAAACACAGCCTCACTCATATCTGTGTGTCAGTGCAAACAGGCGGAAAAAAAACCTGAAATACCAGAAGCTGGGACATCGGACTTGTTTATGAGTCAAACTATATTATACATTTGCACTGGTAAAGAACAGACTCAAATATATGATGCATTTTCACACTTAACACATTTAGACTCACACAATGTATAAATAAGTCTTACATCATTCTTTTTAATCACTAGTTTTTGAGGCTTCTTCAATATAATTTATGCCCATTATGAAGGTTTTGTACCTCTCTACTCTGGTTGTTCAATATACTATACGAGTGAGCGATACTGATGAAAATATTACAATACTACATTTTTATATAGTCTTCAATGACTTGGATGATTTTATTCGGTCATCATAAACTTATACAATAAAACCAAATCTATGATGATAACCAAATGATAATGCACTATACGTTTTTTTATTACTGAGATGCTGGAGGTTGCAGACATATGCAAACAATTTATGAGCAATTCATGTGTGAAGCAATGAGACTGAAAAATAGAGACAGAAGGAGAAACAGATATACTAGCAATTTGGGCTTGTGGGTGTTTTTGCATCTGCCCTGACTGAAAACTCAAATAAATAAATAACAAATATTGTCATCATTGACACAGGGCAAACATAAGTTTACTTAAAATGTTAAGCAGTTATTAATGCTGCCATATTACTGTACATCAATATATGCCTGAAACAGTAAAGCAACACTAACCTTAAATCAAGAGTAACAATCAGCTACACTAGTTTTCACTGCGTCCATAACACGTTCACTATCAGCCCAAAACAGTGTTTGGACGTCTTCAGACATCCCCTCGCTGCTGACCAGGAGGAAACCTGGCATCACATGAGAGGAGCCATCTGTATGTCTTAATTACAAGACTGACATAATCCACTGCTGTCTATCGCAAAGCCCTCTGCACTGCGCGAGCTCTCTGGAGGGTGAGGGATCCTCGCAGCCCGCTAAAACCGTAAAAGAATGACTTAAGAGGGCGTAACGTGTCTGAATAAACAGGGGAACACCACTTTTGATGTACTAGCGTCCACTTGAAAACAATAAGGTGAGCCGGCTCTTCAGTGTGGAGGGAGCAGAACCCAGACAGGCACACTTAACGCAACAAAACGTCCCAAGCTAGTAGCCTCTACTTCTGTCAAAGTGTCGCTGTAGCTTGGTTAATTACACATATTTACTGTAACCTTCCTCAAATCCGAAACAAAACAGGAGAGGCTAAAGTAAGATTTTGTTTTTGAACTAATACTGCGATAACATTTAACATTTAAGCAAAGGGAGACGTTTGTTTGCTTGGATAGTAAGTTAACGTTACAACCTAACGCAACAAGTGCATCGAGATCTCTACCTCTGGCTAACGTTACTCATTTAGTTAGCACGCTATGAAGCGGAAAGTAACTTACCGTCACATCGTACGAGGCGAACGGGCTCTAAGTTCAGTCGCAGGTCTTCTTAGTGCTTTGGTCAAACTCAAAATCTACTTTTCCTATCCGATTAAAACCATGACAGAAGTTTGGAGGACACCAGTTCATCCCCTTCCCATCGCGTGTTGCAGCCCAACTTCTTCAACCACCGGGCAGCCCTTACGATTGAGCCATACCATTTCGGATAGTTGTAGGGGTGCGTATGTTGTGAGTGAATGATTGTTGGAAATGTTCTTACTATTTTCATGTTGTATTCAATATTTATTTTAATCTTTATCGTACGCGTATTAAATAATTACTTATACATTCATGAAAATAAACATTCATGTTTTTAACGTGGTCCTCAACAGACATGTCCCCTATTTTTAGTTGGTATAGCGATCTCGTGCTAATTAGAGGCAATAAATGGGCTCCAATCAGGTTTTCCTTGAACATAGACTAGTGTTTAATTAGTATCTTGTATTATTCTGTATTTTGACCAATATTTCAGCCCTGAATGGGATTATTTTTGTTTCCAATATTATCTGCTGTTGAAGTGGATGAATGCTGCTCCGATAGTCAAATCACACCATATGACCTTTTGTCATGGCGCTTGTTATGGTGAATGTGTTTCACCCCATGAGAAGTCTTTATGCGGCTGTATTTTCTCTTTCCATGTTGGAATACAAACAAATGGGAATGTTTCTCCTGGACTTAACTTATTTTTTATATGAATGCCTGTACTGTGTATTCCTGTGGGCTTAATTTAATATTTCAATAAAGACGGGGAAGTGGTTCATCTGCCATAATCTTGTGGAAATAAGTCTCCAACCATGTGTACTTTGTAGCCTCCGTCTATCTTTTTGCTATCAGCCAGTAACACGATACATCCTTTTTAAATATTGCTCTGGCAGAACACAATAGTCTCCAATCAGTGGGTTGCAGTCAGATGAGGTTTCAAATTCCCTTTATGTAAAAGGTGTAAAATATACTGTTCCTCAGTAGGAATGACAAGTTAAAACTTACTTTAAACATGTGATCATACAGGCCTACAGTATGTAGAATAACATTAAGTGATGCTCTAATGAATTAATAATAACTTTGGCACTTAGAGTTGAGATATTACAACCTCTGACTTTTATACACGTACCCAGGTTCTGAGCAAAACACTCCACACAAGTTCCCACTTTTATTGTTGGTCTTTAAAACACGTCACTGATGACACTGCCATCTGCAGGGCCATTTGATCAATTGAAAAAAATAAAATAATCTAAATGAAAGGAGAGATGAATATCATTGAAAGAAATGGCACCACGATAACAGAGCAAACTGCAGACACGATAGAATTAATTATACTGCTACATGTGTTCAATTATAACGAACCCAGGCCAAGAGATGTACATCAATGTTAATCAAAACTAGACTTAAATTCATCATAACAAGCGTGGCCAACATTGGGTAGCTCATAAAATTAAATTCTTCCCCGATATAAACGGCACAGCTGAGATTGTATTAGTAGTTGATATGAAATCACTTCAGAACGGGTTTCCTGCACTTAGTGTATTAAGCCCTGTGATTAGCAGTGACACATAAGAAAGAAAAGTCATTTAACCAACTTCATAAGATGCAGATTTAATGGTAGATTACGATGATATATAAACAATTTTCCAAGAAACTATTTTTTAATTCAAAGCAATACTTTCCAGTTCAAACACAATCACCAAATTATAACAACCAAATACTTTCAATAAAACAAGTTCATATTGCCATTATGTGCTTCTGCTAAATCATGATCATTGCTTAAAACCCCTGTAATAAAATGTTGTTATGTCGTAGGTAAAGCTTTATTCTCCCAACACCAGGTTGGGTAAATGGCAAAGAGTAGCAAGTATTAAGACCAAAGCAAAGGCTGCCAAGTCTGAGCAACAATCCTATCTCAAATGCAATCTTTGCCATTACAAACGATGGAAAATTGTTGATAAAAAAGTAACTTGTACAAATGACCATTTTTCAGTACAAAAGCTTGTAAAATGTAGTTGTGGTGCAAATCAATGCAGTGTCTCTTAAAATCGATGGGAAACGTTTGCAATGGTAAGGACAGTACGTGTGTGTGCAGACGTGACTCGGGCCAGCTCACCGAAACAGCCATTTCATTTCTGTAGCAGCTATATTTCCAGTTCAGCATCTAAAATTAATTGAATAACTAATTAAAAGTATAAACATTACATAAATCCCACTGAAAACATAGCATATGATGGGGGGAGGGGATAGTTTCCCGAACACAAAAAAAAAAAAAAAAAAAAAAAAAAAAAAAAAAAAAAAAAAAAAAAGTTTAAAAGATGGCAGTAGAAAAATAAAAAATGTCCATATCCACTGTGATTCCAATATAAACAACATGAGATGAAAAATTGTGATTTTGCTCATGTCTTCGAAAAGTGATGCTATGCATTTTAAAAACCAAGAAATAATCAGAATAAGGTTTTGATGCAGCGAGGTATTGGCTCCACATTCCTCTTGTTGATTCTGCCTCATTTCTACTGGAAGAACTTGAGGCCTACAACGAGGAAGAACTTCTCCAGGAAGATCTCAGAATCAAGGACGGCAATGTGGGCGGCCCGGCCAATCAGGGAGTTTGCTGTGTTGGGCAGGGCATGTATGACATCATATCGCACTAGATTACAGTCTTTGTTCTGAAGTACTGGCAGCAGCAGGTTCTCAATCATCTCAGCATACACAGGGCCTGGTATGGACGAGAGAAATAGGCCAAGGTTTGGTACTTTTGATGTTCTTTAGTTCATTTGTAGGATGGCATATGATTTAGTTTTGTAGACATAATTATTCAATACAAACCCACCTGTTTGTTTGTCCTTTACTGCAGTTTTGCACATTTCTATTCGAGCAGAATGATACGGGACGTAACGATCCTGCAGTGACCCAACCAATACCACATTCTTGAAAAACTGCAGACCTTCAAAAAGCAGATGAATAGTAGAAAAAGTTATCTCCACAATCTCATATTCAGCCTGAAATGTATTGTGTTAAAATAGAAGACAAAGCTAACCAGATTTCTTGCTGAGCTTGTAGAGGAAAGTTTGGCGAGGATCAGAGTTATCACGGCAAGTCAGCTGAAGGAGTGACCCGGACTTTTTCCACTTCTGCATGAACCAAAGTCCTGGGAACACACAATTAACCGTCACTTAACAGGCTTCACCACAATGATGGGGGGGGGGGGGGAAAAAAGAAAGAGAGAGAGAGAGAGAGAATAATGGCAACTAGCGGTTTGCTGTGCGCCCAGCAGCTAAACGTACCCGTGTTGACCAGAGCAGAGCTGTTGTACAATGTGCCCAGGTGAGGTCCAGAGAGGGAGAGGAAGGTGTGCAGCCTGCTCAGGTAACATTTAAACCTGGGCCTAGTTAGCACCGAGCGAATGATGAGGTTCCCCAAGGAGTGACCCACAAAGCTGGAGAGAGACCAGAACGACACCAAACACCATTTATATGCACATCTTTGACTCATTTACAGAACACATTCAAATAACACAATTTTCGGACACAATCAGAGTGATGAAGTTGGCTTAAAAACTTGGAAAAATGAAACTGGTTGCAAAGGTTAAACTTTTTACATATTTATTTATGATTGTATTGATACTGCATCATGTAGCTACCTAACGAACCCCTAAAGTATTTTATTAGATAATACACTATATATTACATGTGGGTAGGATAGAACATGTTACCTTATCTTTGACACTGTGAGGTTGTATATCTGAATGTACTGGACTATTTCATCCAGCAGTCGGTCCGTCATCGACTCAAAGTCAGCAAAAGTGTCATTCTGTGGATGAAAAGAGCATTAAAAGATTGTGTCACAGCTCATCCATGCTGACAGTAGTGTCTGTGTGCTCATCCACTCACCTGGTTCCTCTCTGACATCAGGAAGTCTATACGAGCGCCCGGCAGTCCAAGCTCCAGGTAAGTCTTCACCAGTCTCAGGTCTGCACTGTTACCTGCAGCAGTAAAGGGAACACAACACGACACCAATATGAGTTTTTGGAAACCAAAAACAAAACTAAAGGAACTAATTCACCCTAGAAGATACGGTTTCCTACCGTCCAGGCCGTGGACGCAGACTATGAGATGGATGCCTTCTTCGCAAGTTTCATCTTCCTCCAGGCTGAAGTAGGGCACAGTGGATGCCAGCTCAGACACGTCACTGTACAGGAAGCCAGGCAGCTTCAGGTGTTTCATTTCTTCCTTTGCCTTAATGAACCTGCAGAATTAGAAGAAAAACAGTGGATGAATATTAATTATAATGTGCCAGAAAGGACAAATATCTGCATAAAGTATAACATGAATAATTGTGCGAGCCGACTCACGCTTTCATGTGCGGCGTGGGTGCACATTCATACCACCGCAGGCTGGAGGAGAAGGAGGCTGAGGGACAGGGAGGTCTGCCCAAGCTACACCCGGCACTGCTGGAGGCCAGGTTGGAGCAGATGGGCGCTTTTGATAAGTCCTTTGTTTCATGGGGGTAGCCGATGCCGAGCTGCTCAAACAGAAGACTCGTCTCTGAAGCGGCCGCGTCCCCAACCCCGCTTTGCTCCTCGTCGGCAACGACGCCATTGACGAAAGCGTAGCCATCCCCTTCCTCGTAGTAACCGTTCTCGATCATCTCGTGTTCGGCCTCGTCCTCGTCGTCGTCGTCCTCCACCTGTGGCCCAGCATGGATTCCCAGCGTGATGGCGGATGTCTCCACCGGGCTGATCTCAGACGCATCTGTGCTGGAGCACGAGCCAAAGTAGTTCTCCACCATCCCACGTTTCACCAGGTCAGAGCTGCTGGTGGCAGAGTTACTGGAAGGGCAGGTAGTATGGGGGTCACTACCGGGTTCTTTAACAGTCCCAGAACCAGCCACTCCCTCTAGTCCAAGATCAGAAGTACCTAATAATTTGGGGTCCGTTTCCAAGTCAAAGGGAGGTTTTATAAGATGGGAATCCCCTGCAGCAGTGTCGTTGGCCGGTCTGATGGCGACATCTTCAGAGAACACTACACTCTGCTCCTGCACCAAAACACTGGACTTCCTGCCTCGGACTTCAGCTCCACTGGAGCCCTTTGAGGAGCTTTCGCCCTCATCATCAGAGGGCAGGGAGTTGATGGAAGTGAGAGAGGACTGGACTCCGCTGACAGCGCTGGTGTTCTCTGGGTAAAGAGTTTCTGCTGCCCCCCCACTGGGCTTTTGCACCGAGCTTTGCTGAACCGGCCGTGGTGCAGGACTCGGGAGGGGCCTCTCGGGCTGGGGGGCAGCTATGCCCGATTCAGAGACGCCTAGTCCGGCGAAAGTCTGAAGCCCTGGAACCAGCTGAGTGGCGAAAGAGCTGGGCTCGCTTTCGATACCCGAGTCCGAGAGTCGCGACGAGGCACTAGGGGCTCCGCCGTCCGGCAGCCTGAAACAATCACTCTTCACCTGGACTGAGACCAGACAGGACTGGCTACGCTGCGCTGCCTCTTTACCGGGCCTTTCGAAAACAGAGTCCACTACAGACCGCTTTGATTCACAGATGTCTGTCCGACATGGGAGCAGAACCGTTACTTTGTCCCCTTGGTATGGATCCTTTAAACTTGGTTTCACCTCAATCTGCTTCAGCCCAGCAGACCACTCTGGCAGCTTTTGGCCACCAGGGTCAACCTGCTGATCTTTGCAAAGTGGTTGGTTGCATGTAGCAATAACCCCAGTACCAGCCTGAGGATTGTTCTGTGCGTCTGTGTTTGTCTTTTTGAAGGAACCTCTTTGACAAGCAGCAGTACCAATATTGTCATCTGCGACACAATCCACAGCACCGTCTCCACAGTGTGCTGAATTGGCACCAGAGTCAAAAGCTGAATTTGCATAAGTCCTTAAATAACTACTCGAGTCCCTCTGTAATGCATCTCGATCCTCTTCCTGGTTTAGGGGGGCTTCCCCTTCCTTGTGCTTTGGGTCACCATAAGGAGCTTTGAGGTTCTTGTAGCCCACCAACACCACGGAGTCCTTGGAGCCCTGTCTGATCAGCTTCTTTGAGTTCTCAGTCTTTGCATTCTTCTTCAGTTTGACCGACTTGCCTTTGGACTTGGGTGGTGGATCATAGCTGTCTGGCCAGGTGTTATCCATAGGGGCACACCGAGACTCGGGTATGGGGCTGGCTGCAGCACTGCACTCCTTGGAGTTGGGCTTGTCTGCTTTGCTGGACATGGAGCCAGACCTCGCGTTGTGCATGCCCAGCCAGGGTCCGTCGCGATCTTCACATTCAAACCGTGTTGAACAGGAAAAAAGGCAACAAACAAAAACACATTGGTTTTAAAACATAGTGGATGCCTGCTGATTGTACGTGTAGTTGAGTGGTCACACTGTATTACTGACCTTCAGTGATAGAATCCAGGTATCTATCCTCAAAGATGATCGGCAGGGAGCTAACGTCACCATCTAGGTCTGCACATTCCACTGGAAGTGGAGGCAAAGACAGGAAGTAGCTGGAGCTTTTGATAGCATTCGTCATCTGCTGGTGACTGTGAGCACTGGAGGAGGAGGGGACGAGGGAAGGAAGGATGGAAGGAGAGTAAGAGTAAGACAAAAAGAAATATAGAAATCTTTAGTCCAACACTATATTTCATAACCTAGACAAACACTGCAACTTACTGTAGCTCCTGATACGCTAGTGCAGCTTGTCTTGGATGTTCGAGACAAAAGAAAGCCTCAGCAAAGCGCCTTACCTGTAACAAAAACCACATTCAAGATTCAGTCTCTTGAGTATAGTTTTGAATTAGCCATCAGATCAAAAGAGGATTCTTGTAACTCAAAAAGGTAACTTGTCACTTATTCCAACTTGTAGAGGATTTAAGAAGTCGGGACTCACTCTCAGTGAATGGTGCTCCATAGCTAGTAGGGCAGCAACATGCTCCTGCAGGGATACTACCTCCAGGAATTGTCCCCAGAGAGCCATGAGCAGAGAGCAGAGCTGGGCCAGGTTCATATTGACCAGTTCTGCCAGCTCGTCAGGGGACTCCGCTTTCTGCTAAAAAGTATGAAGACACAAGTCACCCACCAGAGGGCTCAAGCGAGCGTTATTCCCCCAAAGAACAATGGCATGCAGTTCTATGCAACAGGACTTGGCACATTGAGTAAGATTGTCCTAAAAAAAGCAAACAATGTCAAAGCACAAACACAGATAATCTGTCTCAGTGACCCTGCACTGGTCTGCCTGTATTTTATTTCCTTTTCAATTTGCTGTGTTTTCAGGCATCAACCCCGAAAACAACATGGCGACCACGTGTCAGACTGTGTAACCCTTGTTGAGCCGGGGAGGAGCCAAATCTGAAGGTTGTGTTTACAAACCGTAAAATGACAAATCCTACTCATTGTGCCGTTAATCATTTTTGTCACAAGGACCTCTCTCAAAGACACTGGAGTACTGTCAGTCTTGACTTCCACAAGTGTTTTTTAAACAGTTAATAGTCAAGTTGAGCAATAATAATAATAATAATAATAATAATAATAATAATAATAATAATAATAATAATAATAATAATAATATGGTTTTTCCAAGTAACTTTTTATGACAAATAAATGAATAGTATTACGATCATAAAAACCTGCTTGTTATAATCAAATGAAGCTGCATATGAAGTCTCCTAAGTACATAAAGTTAATCTATTTCCATTCGGGTGTGTCGTAACCGTTGTTGCATATCCAATATGAAATACTATATTTGGAAAGAAAGTGCTGTACGATGAAACACACAAGAGGAATTGACTTGCATAATGTACCACCATGGTCTACAGAAAGTCCCATCATTCCACAGCTCTGCAACTCAAGTGGGCTAACCTATCAGGATCCAACCACTAAAGAGAGGTTATCTCACCTACACAAGTATGGAACATTCCAGAGACTAGTTTAAAAAAAAAAATTAAAAAAAAAGTAATTCTACCAACTGTGAAGAAACATCGGAGAGCTCGCCAGTTTGCTTACAAATGAGGATTCAGTGACTTCTCTTCTCCATAATTTGCTGACACACCTCGAGTCACCTTGCAAATATTCTCACCACTGACTCCAGTTCAGCTTTCTTTTACAACTCTGTATTACTTGGTGATGAAAACATTTCAGCTTCGTTATCCACCAACACTGCATCCCTTGATGAAATATAAAAAACAGCCCGTTTGTTTGTGCTTCTATATGTCCCTTTGCCATATTTCCTGTTACCTCCTCCTGCCCTATAAACTTAGCACCAGGCTAGTTGCTTCCTATGAATGTTTTTGCATCATTGCCCAATGAGGAAATATGAAAAAGGTCTTACCTTGACATGTTCACATAACTCAGCTAGACGGGCCTCTAAGTCGAGTTGTTCTGAGAAGGCAGAGGAACAGCATTACTAAGAATCACTTCTATAATTGACCTGTTTATTTATACAGAATGCTTTTTTTTTTTTTTTTTTTTTTTAAAAGGGCCTGTAATACAGGCAGAATAAGGAAGTGGTTTTAGAAAGTACATTTTACATGACTTGAGCAGAGAGTCGCTACAAATTCTAGAGAGCCACTGTGTTTAGAATCTTTAACCAATGCCTAGTTAGAAAGAAAGAAAGATGGAGTATATAGCATATACATATGGCATGACAGCAGTTTTAAGTATAATGTGTCTGGGAAATGGGACACAAAGTGGAAGTGGTGTTTTCTACAAAGAGGACACTAGAGTGAAGAGGAGTCAAAGAGAGAAAGGCAGGCTGAGCTGCGGTACTGTGAGCGTCGGGACATACCTATGTAGACGTGCCTTTGACTTCGGGGATAGGGTCTTCTGAGTACTCGCTCATATAGGACTTGCATGCTGGGCTTGGCTAGTAAGATTGCACATATTTAAACCTGTTTATTATCTGGTCTTCTGGGAGGGGTTAGTATCTGTTTAATTGTGTGGGTTAGCTTTAGTGAGCCACAGTTACAACGATGACTTGTATTTATTTAGATGTTACAATTCGGCTTCAGTTTAGTGGTTACCAGACTTATGGAATGAGTGACCGATTAGTTTTGTAAGTATAATGAACTAAGATTAATTAAAGACAGTTAGATTCCTGAGTGAACTTAGCGGGTTGCTGGTTGTGTCGTCTGTTCAGAGGGTAAAATAAGTCAATGTGTGGGGATCAGGTGAAATGATATGAGAACTCAACAAACAGCAACGCTGAAAAGACAAAACAATGAAAATCCAACCAAAGCAAAAAAAAAAGAAATGATTCAGAAGGTATTGTACTGTATGCCGTTGAGAATACTAAGTCTGGGAATTAGGATTTCATACAACCTGTTATCCCCCCACTGTGACATGACAGTGAAGCCATAGTGCTGTGTACCTAGTTCCATGCGATGGGAGGAGGGCAGGTCCTTGGTGCTGGAGGTGAAGTAGTCAAAGAGGCCCTGGTAGGCCAGTAGGAGGTGGGAGCAGAGGTCATGGTGCAGACTGAAGGCGTGCTGCAGACAGTGGTCAGACACCAAAAACGTCCGGCCCTGAGGGATCACGAGGGACACAGAAGACACGGCGTAGATGATGTCATTCTGGTTTAAACATCCTAAGCAGTTGTAAACGTTCGGTTCATAGGCTTTACCAGGGGTGGAAACATGATTCTTGATGATGAATTCAACATTGATCTATAGTATTATACCTATATATCATTATATAAAAGGAGAAAACAGTTTGAGACTGTATTACAGTAAACACCACAGCCCTACAACATCCCAACAGATTATCCTGCCAGTTACTAGACATTTATTTAGTGAGCGATATCCGGGGGTCAACACTCTTTTGTGCTTTCTGCACAGATGCCAGTCGTGAAATGAATAGCGGTCGATGTGTTGTTGTTCCCAAGCTGCCCGTTAGTGATGCATCAAGGAAGGATGAGGGTTATTGCCTCTGTTCTGTCCGAATGACTCCGGTACACTCACACTACCGCATCTCAGGGGCAGCTTTAGCTGCCTGCCGCTCTGGCAGGAGAGGCCAATTACTCCTGGCCAAATGTGACAATGGTCTGATGGATGCCCTCTCTGTCAACATCCCGACACTTCTGCCTGTGCTTCAGACGCAGTGAATGTAACACACCAGTCCACCTGAGGTGAACAACTGTCAAGTCCACAGCACGGCCCATGTAATAATCAAAAGGCTGCGTTACTGGCAGGCAGCCTTGCCTTAACAATACATGCATGGTTGTTTTTATTCTTTCAGCTTTATTTCTTCCTCATAAAAGGAAGTATTATTAGGCTTATGTCAACCACTCACTTTTATCAAGTGCTTAATTTAGCTCTTTGTGTTACAGCCTTTTATGACAACTCAGTAGTTGAGAAGCATCTACAAATGCAATACAGCTATTTGACATTGCCATGAAGGAGGTCCACTTACGTCTGCCGATACTTGCTTGACATAACTGCCTCCGAACACCACATTCTCCAGAGGTGGGATGATGGAGTCTTTGCTCTGCGGTGGAGCGTTGCGGTTCAGCCATGTGGTTTTCACCGGTCGAGGCAAACTAGGTAAACACACAGAGTGACGTCAAACTCTGCTAATCGCCACAAGACTTTAATGAGCACTTCTAATGAGGTTTCTTCTCCTTATATCACACATGGCTGCACATACATGTCAAGTTCAAAATAACAGCTATGTTGTTTACTTCAACTGTAATGTTAAATGTGTTGTGTGAAGTAAACAATAGCAGATAACATGATGGAGATCCATGAAAGCGCTGCAGCACTTGTTCTCTGGTGTTAGGTAGCAGTCTGACCTGATAAGGGGCTGATGGAGAGCCACGAGGGAGGCATGGATGGCTACAGACATGACAGACAGGTGGAAGTAGTCAAACATGACGTTGACGTGCTGGTGGATGCCTCGCTGAAGGCTAAAGTGCAAACGAAGTGTGCGGCCACTGATGTTCTGTAGAGAGGTTGGATCATCTGGCCTGTGGAAGTTAAATAAAAGGAAGATACAGAGGAACACATTAGTGCCACCTTTTTTTTTTATAAGGAGGTGCAAATATCAAATTCACAAACACTGAAAAAGGAACATGCAGTTAAAATGTTGCAACACCTACGTGTAATCACCATCTGTGAAATATAAATCCAAGAATAGCTGGAAATCAATGTCATTGAGGGACTCTTCCACCTGAGAATATTGAAAAACAGTCGTGTTAGAGCCAGTGTGTTAGAGCATATGGTGTCCCTAGTCCATCAGCAACATACACAACACCAGTGAAGGTGGGTCTTTTTCCACTTGATGGTACCAGCTCTAATAAGCCAGATGCATTTTTGAAGCCTTTGGTGATCGTAATGCGTCACCCTGATGTCAAAAACACTCCGATGTTCCCCGTTAGAACAGTTGAACCTCAGCACCAAAAACAAGGCTCCAGCAGCACAAACGATGCAGAAGCTTTCTCACGCAAGATATTCACCCAGACAGCTTTTTTGGGGGTTGATCAAAGAATCCCTTTGAATCCATTTCTGTGACATTTTGCAGGTGCATCATGCTTCTAATGTACTGCTCTTGCTTGAAGACAGCACCGCACTACAAGCATCACCTCTTTTTCTTTTTTAAAGTTGAGATGAAATGAAAATACCTTTTAAAATCATTTTATAATCACATCCCCGAACATATTGGGCACCGGTTTGTAAATATATACGCAGAGAAATGTACCTTCTTCTCATCCAGCAGCATCATCACTTTGAAGAGGAGGACGTCGTTGATCACAACCTCTTCATTCTTGTAGAGAATTTGGAAGGTTTTGCTGCAGATGACATCGTCTTGGACTGAAGCGGGAAACGCCAGATCAGAGCCTAGACAAAAGCCACCAGAATTAACTGTGCGTTTAAGAAAAATATAAATGGTTATAGCAAACATGTCTGCTTTAGATCATTTCTGTATAAACTTTTAGAAACACCGGGCACAGTATCATTAGTATGTCAGGTGCTGTTACACATGGCTCACAGTTCAAAGATGGAGAGACATCTAGATGGATTTTGCAGATCCCCAAAAAAATATCATAAACGAGCAAACCTACAGATAATAATCTCCATAGAACCGGTGCCAGGAATTATCCGACCTCATCAGGTCTGCATTGAAGATGAAAGTGTGGTGAAGTGCTGTTTCCCCGTCTACTCTACTGAGCAAGGCTTTCAAAGTAATAAAAATGGAATTTAAAACATTTAAGCATTGGAACTACACACACCTTGATGATCCCATTTATTTATGAAACACAAATTGAGTGCTTTGTGCAACAAAATGAGCAGCGCAGGTCTCTAAGCAAGGCGGGGGGGGGGGGGGGGGGGGGCTGCAGCGTATGTACTAAGCCTGAGAGGAACAATGAGAACAAGGATCGGCCTGTGAGATAATCCCAGAAACTCCCTGTTAACAAAACAATAAGTCAACCAAATCTGGAATAACAACTTTCAGCGAAACGGTGCGAACATCAGAAAGCTGAAAGAGATGTATGCAAGTCCACCTGAAGTTCAAGTATGATTTAAATAGTGTCACAGGGACACAAACAGCATTACTTTTTACATACTGCAACTTACATAGCATTGCTACTGCTTTTAATTGGAGAATTGAAAGGAAAGGGGCAGCGCTTGGGTTGACCAATTGGAGCCATAAAGGGTACATGAATCCTTTTCAAAACACAGAAACGGTCTCTTTGCATCATCTGAAATGTATTTACCTCCCGGGTGAAGCAGGCTGGTCTCAACTTTGTGTGGAACCCGGGGCGGCACCTTCAGACCGGCACGAATCTGGTAGAAGCTGAAAATGCAGACAAACTGTGTGTTAGCTCGGTCCAAAGCAGCATCCAAACCGCACGGGTCAGCCACGAGCACTTGCAAAATGACACCACAACTTTCGTGAATAAACAATGAGCACTTTCTGCTGCGGTCACTCGGGTAGTAAACGAGCCGGGAGCGTGGAGCTAAACCTGAGCTCTGATAGCAGCGACGAGCCGGGGGCAGGAGTTTTATCTTAGCAAAGGGACATGTCATTACACGGCTGCTGTAAAGAGGAATTTTGATTACATGAAGCTCCGTCAATAAAGGCTTTGTAAGACATCCATATTTTAGGTTTCAACTAAACACAAATAGCTTTACGATTTTACAATCCCTGCAGCACCACAGTAATCAAGATGTATTAAAAATGTAGTGGGAGGTGAGTCAGATAGCGCTGCTTCCTCTTAGTCGATTAGTTCAGACTAATCAGCCGTTTTGGTCTTAGCCGACTAAAGAATCCTTTAATCAATTAGTCATTTTTTAAAGCTTTTTTCATGCTGAATGACTTCCAACAAATATGAACATGTCTCTAGTGACCACAAGGTTTAAAATGGTGCTTTTGAGTGATTCCTTGTGGAGAAACTCTCCAAAAAGATCACCGACTCCCCCAGATTGTCTGGGACACTCAGGGAATAGATCCCTCTAAAGCGTGCTGTCATAGCTGCTGTTTTTTCATGAGCAAGGTAGGCTTGTCTGTAATGTATGTCAGAAAAACACTTCTTTGGTGAAGCATGAATGAATTGCCACCTGCTGGAAACACATGGCAAAAAAAAGAGCAGAGACAATGAGACGACACTCACCCTCTTTGGAACAGGTCCACGTTGTAGAACTTGTGGAGCTCCACAGAGAACTCCACTGTGGCCTGGACTTCAGTCATCTTTGTCTCTACAGGCAGGGGTGCCTCACATCATCTGGGATACACCTATAGGCCTACGGGTTAAGCAAATCAAAATTGGTCATTTCAGCTCCAGGATTCTTTTGTAAAAAAACTATCCTCAGGGCCTAATTGTTAACAGCCCTGCCAATTATAACATTGGTATGACATTGGGTCAGGGAAAGTATTATAAATAGCATTGCAAAAAATAGGCCTGAAATACAATGTTACCAATTGGTAGTGTTTGAAATAAACACAGACATCCTCGTCATTAGATGCAAACATTTTTAGCTCAAGCCGAATTAAAGAAAAAGGCCACGTAGTTGTTTTTGGCTGTAGTGTGGTGTATGTGGGGGGGGGATAAAACTGGCAAAAATAATCATACAGACGGTCCCTAAATTAGTCATGGAATAAAATGAATAAATCATCCACTGGCAGACCACAAGGCATTGTATCCATGCAAGTGAAAACCAATATGAGATGCAAATGGCCACCAGAAATCTGACCTGGTTGACACAGATGCCTAATGCAAAACGAATAGTACCAGTTATCTTTAAAAGCCATCTGTTAAAAACTGAATTAAACCGGGCACGACACAGAGGAGGTACAAGGACACGAGTAGTTTAAATGAATACACTGGCTGTCCCTGCATAATTATGTTTTAACTTAGGGTTTAATTCCCTTTATCAAGACCTTGAAACAATCACTTTATCACCATTTTACAGAAATTGCCACAAATTATTATTTTGGCGGACAGAATGAGTCAAACCAAGTACAATTTACACCAAGCTGAATTATTCATTCATGTCAAACCACTGACAGCTGCTTTGTAACTACACTGTGAGGTGAACAATAATGACACTGAAGGGGGGGGGGGGGCATTGTTAAACCTGTACAATAGTCAGTTCTCCAGTTTCTAATGGAGGGGTCTATGAATATTTACACAAACATCTCTGCTAAGAAGAAACTCAAATGAGCAACTGTTTAAGGTGTTGACTGTTTAGAAGGCTGACACGTTGGTGCCAATAAACCAACGAGCTGCCAATGCGGATGAAACGTTCGTAAATGAACTCACAATCAATACAAAGTTGTAGTTTGTAAAAACAAATTATAAGAAAACAAAATGCCACATTTACCAAATTAGCCTCCAACAATTAATATGTAGTCAGCACTTCATATAATTCAGGTCAACAAACCACCTCGAAGAAAGGAAAACTAAAACATCTAACGTTAGTCTTATTAAATATGTATATATACATGAGAAGGCCTTACTCCGGCTAATAGTTTCTTCTTCAAAAACGGGAACCTGTACGTCACCAACTAAAACCCCAAAACTGAGACGGACCAATTTTGGAAACCGGAGCATCCAAGTTAATAAAGTTATGACTTAACGTTAGCTGCATTGTTGTGACGCTATGACTGGAGTAAGTGAGGTGGCACAGGTCCCTGGCAAGTGGGCAGAATCTCGGCAAGGGTATTTAATGGGTTACAGGTGGGAAGCTAACGTTAAATGTTGTTGCCAAGGGCCCACAAAAGGTCAGGAACGATCTGAAAAACACATAACATACTGCACTAACGGGGAAATAAACTATTGCTCGTAGCTAGCTAACAGTAACAGTTAGCGTAACATTAGCCACCCACCGAACAGTTATCAGCGGGTCTAACATTAGCCGCAAAAGAAAGCTAACGCTACTCACCATTGCGTTGGCAAGCTAACAGCAGCTAGCTAACCAACGTTAGCTCCAATTTCAGTCCTCTCGCCGTCCTTTCGCTGTAAACTGCGGACAGAAAACACTACTGTGCTGACTATGTCACGTCCTAGTTTGGCAAGCGTTAAAGGAGAAACGCCCTTACAATGACACACAGAGTCGAGTGGCCATGGATCTTCATGAACAGGGTTGTTTGTGTTTGCTAGCCATCAAGCTAACTGCTCAATCTGAAGAGCTGACAGCACCAGCAAGCGCTGCTCCACCTGCACGCTCACGAACATTTAACTGTGCGTTACTGCACATCTGACGCAGTTGACGCACATGCACAATTGCTACCTATAAATAGAGCGTTGAAGTGTTGGATGCATGTGATGATAATAATGACAATATTATCATTATTACTATTATTATAAATTGTATTATTAGCCGTAAACAGTTTTGGAAAAATAAATATATTCAGATCTTGTGACACTGTGCATGTCACTTGTTATGAGGAGTTTAAAACAACTGCGTTTTTATTCTCTGTGTATATCAACTATGAGTTGGCTTTTTATTTCCTTGCATTAACGGTTTAAAATTCTGAAAATAATTTCCCTGTGAAAACATCATGAAAGCTGGGTTTCTTGGTAATAAACACAATGTATTTGAATGGATTCTGGATGCTTTCACTACAATTTAAAGATACAAGTCCTCCACCTTATTTCAGGAATTGCAGAATGAGAACGTTTTCCTGCCACTCTGCCTGACAGAGCAAACCCAGCCCGAATTGCTTTTTAGTCAGCATCTCTTGATTTTCAGCTTGGACTGCACTGGAAAAAATGCTGTCTGAATACCATGCAACCATAGAGATCACAGAGAATGCAGTTCCCAAAAGTGCTGGACAAATAAAGCCAAAGCAGGGTAATATCATCTTTTAATCTTTTAATCATCAACTAATTTACCTTATATTACTTATGGTACAAAATCGTAATAATAGCACAAAAAATGGGGTACAATACTGTAACTTTGTACTTGAAAAATCATTAACATTAAATCCAAGGTGGGAGCAAGATAACTCAAGTGGAGTGTAAAGTTGACACTGTGGAGACTGTTGACTCACTCCCCCAAATAAATGACAGTCGAGCCTATAAGAGACCCCTCGCTGTGACCTGAAGGTTTTCACTCTTGCTGAGGGAGCAACTATATCTTGTTCTCTCCTGCAAGCTGATCTATAGAAACATCCAGCAGCAGGTGCTTTTTTTTTCTTCCATTTCCAGATGAGGCTATGAAATGGGTGGAGTCAAAAGGTAAACAATGTATGTAACAGTGACCTTCTGAGTGTTGTGACTGACATGTAATTGATGCCAAAACTGTGCCAGTCTATAATTTCAATTATACATGACAGGCATAATGCAAACAAATACATTTCTAACTCAAACTGAATGGCTACGTTTTTTTTCTGATTGCATTCCAGAAATACCCTTCTGTACTCATTGTGCTGTTGCTATTTGATCCCACAATATCTTTGCACAGGACTTCATTCTCAAAGTAAGTAGTCTTCTGCACTGTAAGGTGCAATTGGTGAGATACCGGTGACAAAGGTGTACAAAATAATGTGAACATTTCACATTAAATCACCTCAACATTAGAGTAACACAATTACCAGTGCAGTGCATTGCTGCAAAAGACGAGTGATGTTCACTTGAATGCCGATTATCAGTATTTGTCAACCCACTACATACTCAATATGTTAATTATACCTCTGCTGCTGTTCATCTTTGAAGCACTTTCTCTGTGCTCGGCATGTGTTGCGGCATATGTTCCTCTTGACATATTGAATAATTGTGCCGTTTTTTGTTACTGCATTTGCAAGGAGATCTGTGGAGCTCTGTTACCTGTTTATGTTGCAGACCTCATTTATAGCTGTCAAACTCTGTTAATTTATAGTCATTGATATAAGGCACTTATTATATAACTACATATAGTTTTTGTTCCATGCGGCGTTCACATCATTTTGTCTTACCTCCTTACACACTGCTGCTCTTATCTATATTTTATGACATGTATCCTATGTGGGTCAGTGTAGCAGCACTAACATTGCTGGGTTAGAGAGTCCAGCTGTGTGCCTGTGAATAGACTCAGCTGTGCATTGAATGGTACGCATACACTGATAAATACATACTGATAAAGCATCAAAGTATTATATTACAGTATCAACTGTGATCATGTGAACAGTGTCAGATAATTAATACAATGCTGGCAGCCTGCTTGTCAAATGTCAAAAAGAACAACTTGTTGTATGTGAAGCATTTATTTAAACTTAATAAGACATTTAACTTCCTGTCCAGATGTGTTAATAGGCAAATCTAGAACTTAAGTGTTAAAGAGGAAGCCACAAACAGCTAGCCTAATATTTATTCAAGGCAGTGGTGCAGCTTTCCAAACACTGAGCTTTTATTCCCTCCCCACAACAAACACACACATGCACACACACACACACACACACACACACACACACACACACACACACACATACACACACACACACGCACACACAGTCAAAGTGTGTGTGCGTACACACACTTTGACTGCTAACCAGATGCTTTCTGTTTCCATCTTGCAGCTGTGAGATTTTCATCTCAAGTTGGTATTCATATGGAGCAGCAGTCCATGTGCCCTCAGATCAGCATTGGGGAGGATCATTTCCCAGGTGGATTCACAAAAACTATAAGCACAGTTTGTTTTTATATAACTCATACTTATTATGCCGATACTTTATGTTTGTGAAACTGTAAAAAAACATCTTATATTACCATAGTTTGGAAAAAGCAACAAGGTATACTGTAAGTATAAGTATATTGTTTCACCATTCCATATAATCATTATAGCAAGTTGTCATACGGTAGGATTTAGCGAAGGTCATGGACCTGCAAGATGATTTTTGCATTTAACCACTCTTCTGTCCCTGCACTCTTAGGGTTTTATATTATGTCCCAGTTCCACATTGCTGAGCTGGCAAGAAGGGGCACAGTTAAAAAGGTGACAGGATCATCTCCACAGCACGTTGCTTATCGAATAGGCCCAGCGTTCAATTTCAGGATCAACACAAGGTAAGCGTTGGGGCGTTAAAGTGGAGTTGCACGAGTGAATACTGAGCCCTAGTGGTTGAGCTGGTATAACGCTATTTACCCTCTCCATGGTCCTGAACATTAGAGACTGACTTTACCTGTACCACCACATTCCTTCTGGAATACAACTTTAAAAAGAAACCATCAGATATATGATTTGAACATTATAAAAGGGACAATAGTGGATGATAATTCATGTTTAGCACAGACACCAATCCTTATTGGAATATATATATATATATATATATATATATATATATATATATATATATATATATTTATTTTTAAATTGAACATTAAAGGTGAGTGTATAATAGTCCATCCTTTATGTTTCAGATCAGCTTATCCCCTGGGGCTGCCGGAGGAGTTTGCATTTGTGGCCGTGCTGCGCATGAGTGGCAGCGCCATCCATAAAAACTGGAATATCTGGCAAATGCAGAATGAAAATGGAAAGGAGCAGCTGGCCGTCAGACTCAACGGGGAGTCTCAGTCTCTGGAGCTTACCTTCACAGCGCTGGACACCGGGAGGCAGACTGTTGCTTTCAGCCGTCTGGCTTTTATTTTCAATGATCAGTGGCACCAAGTCCTGCTACACGTCAGCAGGCGCTCTGTTATCCTTTTCGTGGACTGTGTCATGTTCGGTTCTCAGAATATACCACCCCGACAAAAAGTCAGTCTGGATGGCTTCACGTTGATAGGGAAGCTCAAAGACAATCCAATGGTGGCAATTCCGGTACGTCTGTCAAACCACCGAGCCTTTTGCAACTAAAGCAATATCTATACATTTCTGGCATTTTAGAATTCCACCACAGTCAACTAAAGTTCACCCACTTCCACAGCTACACCCCAACACGTTTCTCAAGCACCATACAACATTATTCCACAATTTTCATTTTGTAATTCTTTATTATTTATGAGAAAGGCACGTTTAGCCGTTCTTCTGGACTAAATGTGACGCATGTTCATTCAGTTTACTTAAGGTTTAGGCGACCTGCAAAATGTAATGAACTCATGATGAATAGTTAGAGCTTTTACCAGTATGCAATGCTTTCTGACTGACATGTGACTTATTTATACAAAGAAAACCTTGTTTACTTATTTTCGCATGAAAGCCTTGTGTTTATATGGTTTAAATTTCTTCACTGTCGCTTGAGTGATCATCCACATGCGCCAAACTTTCTAATTTAATATATTTTGAGCTGAAGAGGAACATCATGCTTGTGTGTCCTTTTACAATAAAGTATACCCCATTGAAGGATGTTATTGAGCAAGCAAGAGTTGTGACATTGGAACTTTAAAATGCTCGGAAAAACAATCATACTAAGCAGAGGAGTTTTTGCTTTGACATGTAAACGTTTGGGAATCCCTACGTTTTGTCACCCTCCTGTTTGGTTTGTCTGTAACAATGTTCACTATAATTGAAGTCTACTGTGTCTCCATTTCGACTTTACCAACAAATATGTAGAACTTGTTGCAGGTTCTGGCGAAGAATACGAGATGTGCACAGGCTAAACAATCCTGCAATACCACACTGTGCAGCTCAGGTTGATGGTTTCCAAAGATTCAGGCGCATGTGCACACTTACGCACATCACGAATTCTTATTTAACCACATTTTAACTCCCATATAAGCGTTTGATTCCATAGTAATGTTTCAATAATGAGCCTCAGATTGTCACTTATGTATTGCGCAAACACAGCCTGCTTTCTACTTTTCATCGCATGATGCGGAAAATCCAGAGTCCGGGCTTTGTTTTCTTCTAATTAAGTTTCCAAAATGAATTAGAAGAAAATAAAGCCCCTTAGCCTATGAAGCCTCTTGTTCTGGTCACGCAGCGTCGATGTGTGGAGCCTTAACATACAACTTGTTCCAGAATTAGGTGCACTGTACATCTGTTATGATCATATTGTGCTAATGTGTTATTTCCCTTCATGTATTTATCAAGTTTGAACTCCAGTCAATGCTGATTCACTGCGACGTGACGCGAGCCCGGACAGAGGCTTGTCATGACCTCCCAGCCAGGACATTGGTAAGAAAAATGAAAATAACACTATGAATAATAATGTAGTTTGTTGTTTGAGGTATTGGAGCTTTAGTAGCATATTGGTTTAGCGGGATGACCCTAATTGCTGGTAATGGAGAGGGGGAATAAATGCGCAAACTACACGCAAATTGTGTGCGTAAAAGCGAT